AGTTTTAGACCGTGAGGAGCTGAAACTGAGGGTGTGCACGTGCAGAGAACAAGAGAACAAAGAGTCGTGGGAAAAGAAGATATGGAAGATGAGAACGGAGTATCTTGCAGTGAAATAGAAAAGATAACCTCTATAAAGAGAGGAGAACAATAAAAACAACTATAGAAGAAATAGGTGGGGAGGAAGGAGCATTGTGAAGCATAATTGCAAACGAAAATCTGAATAAAGAAAGCATCAAACCACCATAGTCCCCTACGACTTTCTCATCCCCAGCCGCTGCCTCTCTCTCTCTCTCTCTCTCTCTCTCTCTCTCTCTCTCTCTCTCTCTCTCTCTCTCTCTCTCCCTCTCTCGATTTCGAACATCTATCCAGCCCACATTTTGACTCCTCTCACCTCCTTTCAAAATTTCCCCTCGTCATCCTCATTTAATATCTGCTGGTCATCTTTGTCGTCCAATCTTTTCTCGAATCACCATCGCTTTTGCGTTTCCTTCCTTTTCTGTCGTCTCCTGGAAGCAGGAGGATATTGGTCTCCAAGGCTTCCACAGAGAACCCAACATATCCAAAGTCTGATGTAAAGAGAACAAGAATTCCCATCGCCATCCTCATCCTCGTTTAATATCTCTTGGCCCCTTTTGTCGTCCAATCTTTTCTCGAATCACCATCACTTCTGCATTTCCTTCCTTTTCCGTGGTCTCCTGGAACCAGGAACCAGGAGGATATTGGCCTCCAAGGCTTCCACAGAGAACCCAACATATCCAAAGGCTGATATAAAAGAGAACAAGAGAATAAAGAGCCGTAAGAAAAGAAGATGTGGAAGACGAGGAGGGAGCATGGTGAAGCGAAATAGAAAGGATAATCTCAATAAAGAGAGGATAAATATCAAAGCAACCATAAAAGAAATAATAGGGAGGAAGGAGTATTGTGAAGCGGAATACAAACAAAAATCTTAATAAAGAGAGCATGAAACCACCATAGTCCCCTACGCCTTTCTCATCCTCACTCTCTCTCTCTCTCTCTCTCTCTCTCTCTCTCTCTCTCTCTCTCTCTGACACGAACAAAAATCAACAAAACTCTGCATATGCTGGTCTTCTAGACTGAATGCTCGCTAAAAAAAATGGCACAATATAGCGCACGTGAAGTCCGCCATCACCAGCTTGAGTTGAAGAAGCCAGAGCTCACAATCTGAAGATTGGCGAGGAAAGCTCAGCGCAGGTGGGCGGTGGTCACGGACAAAAAGAGTTGGGTACAATAGGTGCTGGTGGATATTGCGCCAGAATGTCTAAAGATCGAGGGGGTGGAGGTGCAAGGGTATTTTCAGGCAGAGAAAAGTACATCCAGAAATAGGGTTTTTTACAGACATTGGATAGTGATAAAAAGTAGTGAAGTACGACCAGATATTGAAACACAATTCGCACTCATGGAGCCTTCAAAATAATGAATAGGGATCTCATAGTTTTGATATCTCTCCTTATTTATGCCTCCTTTGTTTCATGCGTGCTTTGTTTCCTCCCCAGCCTATTCAAGCAGAAAGTGCTCAAGGTGTTTTTTTTTTTTTTTTTGGGATTGCGATTCCTTTTTCTTGCAGGTGTAGAGAAACTCAGAGATTCTTAAGACACAGTTTGCGTCATAACTTACACCGGACAGGTGAAACTTGATCTTCTTTTTCTCGATGTCATTTGGAGTTGCATCTTCATTCGCAGCTTGACTTTCAATCATAGCTTTTATCTCCATCTCTGCTCTGTCCAGACATCATAAAATCTTCATGTGTGCTGGTGATTTTCCCATCCCGCTGAATCCCAGTACAACACTCCAAAAAATTGGTGACAATCTCCAGTGATGTCTAGACACTGCAAG